TTGAAAGGAGGAGGCTGTGTTTAATTTTGTGCAAATGTTGATGCTTGTGGCTACAAGGAGCAGGGCTTTGAGGCTGGGTCACTTTGGTAACACTTCCCACATGACTTTATCAATGGGTGGGCCAGGAAAACTTATCCCATGTTGTTTTACACCCCGCCCCCAAACCACCCAACCTGACCAAGTGTTAGTTTTTCAAAGCCAGAGAAGTTTCAAAGGGCTGAACCCAACACAGAGGCCTTTCTTCATGCTTTGATTTTCTGCCCATTAAGTGTTTGTCGGTGAGTTCAGATTTCCCCTCCTCTGCAGCCTTCATGTCCCAAAAAGTCCCTGGAGGTATAGGAAGTTAATTGATCCTTGATTAAAAGAAGGGAAAATGCTGTGCCTAGGTCTACAATCGCCAGACATTTTTTGTTTTCTTGTTTTGTTTTGTTTTTTGGTTCTGCTCTGCAGAAATCTCACAATGTACCTTTTATTGACAATAAATTCCCAAATATTGGCTTCCGAGTTTTGATATGATTGTGTGAGATGCTTCTGTATCTTCATCAGCATGTATGTGGCACATGGCAAATGTAAAACAAAGCTTAGCTAATGCCACTGCCCTGACTGCTCCAAACCAAGTATTTTTAACTTTTATCTACAGAGGTTAAAAGCATGTGTTAATATTTATAGGTGCTTTCTTCTCTTTGTCTTATGTGACTCACTGTAGAAGCACCCAGGCTCTAGATTGTTTCAACTCCACCCAGCTTCATCATTTACTTGCAGGGTGACTTTGGTAAGTCATGTTAATCTCTTTGAACCTGGAAGTGGCTTAATGTATTAGCTTCTATGGCTGATTCTCCTACCAGTCTGTGGGCCACTTGAACCCAGTGGGTTAATCAGTGCCAAGAACAGAGAAGACAGCTAGAATGGGTAGAATGCAATGGTTTAAGTGAGGAACCTTAATAAAATTTGGGCACATAATAGTTGTTTACTAGATGTTAGTATCATGCTCTGTGCTTCTTTTCCCATTTCTTCATTACATTGTCTACTTATATACTGTTTCCTACTTTGTAACAAAGTTTAAAAATTGTCCCAAAGAGGCCAATGTTGTGGTGCGTAGGGTGAAGCCACTGCTTGTGACACCGGCCTATGCTATAGTAGCAAGTTTGAGTCCCAGTTGTTCTACTTCCAATCCAGCTCCCCGACATTGTACCTGGAAAGTAGAAGACGATGGCTCAAGTACCTGGGCTGTTGCCATCCACATGAGAGGCCCAGCTTGAGATCCATCCTCCAGGGTCTAGTCTAGCACAGTCCTCTCTTCTGTGGCTATTTGAGGATTGAACCAGAAGATGGAGGCTCTCTCTCTCCTCTCTCTCTCTGCTCTCTCTCTCTCTCTGCTCTCTCTCTCTCTCTGTGTGATTCTGACTTTAAAATAAATAAATAAACCTTGACAATTGTAAGTAAAGATTGTTTCATAATACTAAGTTTTCATCAGTTTTGTGACTGTCAGTTCTGGAATCCTTAAGTTGCACTTTCTTATTTCTAGAGGGTGTGTAAGCCCCTAGGTTCTAGAAACCTCTTCTAGTCACATAAGAATAGGCTCAAGCTTTCCATCTCATGTAGTGTACCTATCTCATGTAGTGTCTTTATTAGAGAGACCTTTTGTGCTCTCAGTATATCGTATAGTAATGTCGGTCACCACACTGAAAGTACATTCATGCACCTGTTTTTGCAACTTTCTTACATCTTGATGCACTTGTTGAGGGCAAGTGTTATGATATAGATCACTCGAGAATCTCATTGTCTAACACTGGGAATTATCTTTGGATGAATTGGTAAGGGACTGCAGGGATTGGTGACAAAGATGGTGCCCGTGTTGGGATTCAAAATACTGCTTTGGAAAAAGACAATGTCTTCTCTGTGTCCTGGAGTGGCATGGCCTGCTATTATGTCTCTTGAGGGTAGCTGCCCAGCTGGGGGGAATGTTTATACTGTTTTCATCAACTGAAGGCAACTTGAACTTATCCTCTTTTTGGAGCAAAATCAAGAGTTGACTGGCATTGACCCCAGTAATACTGCAAATTTGTGGGAGAGAGAAAGCCATTGGGTTTCCTGAATACTATCTCCATGCCTTTCAAGAAAATCAACAGGGAATATTCAGCTCCAACTTCTTAGCTATTTGTGGTCACCATCCACATAATCAGAACCGGAAACCCTCTGTAAACCATAGGCAAAGAAAGAAGAAAAAGGATTTGTATTCTTCCCAGTTGAAGAGAAGGCAGAGGAACTGATCAGAGTTTTCCCTCCCAGCCTTCTCTATGGGGCCACAATGTGACCCTGACCCACTCTGCTGAAGTTGCCCTGTCTTTCTTCTAACTGAAGCTTCCTGCCAGGGCTACGGGTCTCCTTCTGCTGGACCGCATGCTCTCGGAGTGCAGGGCTGGGCCACCTTTGTCTCCCTCTCACTCAAGATACATAATCATGAATCAAGAAATGAACAGATAAATGAACTGGTGAATCCTAACTTACTCCATCATGCCAGCAATCTCAAAATTTGGGTTCCTTTCTCCTGGAATTAGATCATAGTTTTAGAAATGTGAAATCACTTGCTCAAGTAGTAGGGTGCAGAATAGAGATCATTAACCCAGTTCTAACTCCAAAGCCCTTTTATATGTGCTTTATTGTCCTTAGAAACATATGTTTTACAGGCCTATCATGTGAACGCTATTAAAAATAGAAGCCGGAGGCCTACGAGAGGAGCACAACTGTAAGGAACTCGGAGTCTGTTCGCTTCCTGAGTTTATTAGCAACGCTTTGGCTCCCAGGCACCGTGGGGTCTGCAGCCAGGCTCGGCCTCGAAGCTGAGGCATTTTTATCAGGATGTGTGGAACTTTAAAAAGCACACTATTAATATCATACCCCTGGCTCCTCATCTACTTTTCATGGCCAACTCAGTCTCCTTTCAAATTGTTTGAGCAGTGCGATGAAGATGGTTGGGGCACCCAGGATATCTCTCCCAGGGCCCTGACCCAAAGAGATCAGCTGACAGCTCTGGAGCTTTTCCCCAGCGCTTCCCTGCCCCCACTGCTCCACGGCTGAGGCTGAGTTTGCAGCACTGCTGGTCACAGCCTCTAGGGCCCCTCTGTGTTTACTTTGAGAAGGTCAGGCACAATACCGTGGTGTGTTGCCATTTTTTCTTTTCAAAGCACTTGTATGAATTTGATAAAGTAAATTGTTGTTCTAGCAGGAAGCAGTTAGGGGGGTCACAAAATAAATAGCTGTAGAATTTAAATAAATTCAAAGAATAAAACCAAATAAATCCATGTGTATATGCACAGTGATCCATAAATATCCTTCTTTTTTTTTTTTTTTTTAAAGAAAGTGAGCAGTTTCATAGCTGCGAGGCTGGATCAAAGTAATTGAAAAATTGTAGAGTTCTTGTTCCATGTTTGTTAGGACAGTCTGGGCCTTCAAGCAATGTGACATGAATTTAATTCTTTTTGAAAAATGTGAAAATGGAGTTTTATCTTTTAAACCACTGAGTACCTTGTTTTTGTTTTGTTTTGGTTTTGCAGACGATGCATTTCACATGGGGATGAAACCAATTTGCAATGTTAACTGAGGGATTAGGCATTTGGGGGTGGTGGTAGGGGGTAGACTAAGAGGCCCTGAGCTAAAGATCATCCTTCAGTCTATTCTCTCAGGAGTGCTTACTGGATGCCTTTGAAAGACCCCTTGTGGACATGGATTCAAAGCAAAGATGAACATCAAGTACCCAGCACGCTGTGCATGCACTGTTTGGGGGCTCTTATTACCATGATGTTTTTTAGATCTTCCTGGGTCCTGAGCCTTGGTGGCTCACTTTTATTTTGTGAGGTGGCATTCACATTTGAGCAGTCGGAAAGGAGGGTTATTTCAGTCTGAGAGGGCAGTAAGAACCCAGTGTCTAGTGCCAGCTGTATGAGAGTGTGTGAAGAGGAGCAGGCCAGGAAGCTGGAGAGGAGGCGTTTAGCTCATGCAGGTTCCTCATTTACGTTTGGAGACTTTTATCTCACCCTGAGCAATCCACTGGAGAAACTTCCGCAAGTCAGGAACATGCTCACGGCCAGAATGCTTCAGGAAATAAAATGGTAGGGGTATATAGGACGCAGTTGGGGCAGCCGACCAATGAGGAGGCTGTTGTCATGTCTACTTGGTGGTTGTAGAACTGTGTGTTGGGCTTTGGGACTGGAAGAGTCTTTTCCTGGCAGGTGATGGCATCTCTCTGCCATGACCTTTGGGAGAATTGCATCTGAGCTGGCCGCTGATAACCCACAGCAGCTGCAAGAGTCGCCTGGGGCTCAGGGTGCGTTGGGCTCCTTTCCAGGATTGCAAAGAGCAGGGCCAGGCTCAACCCTGATCAGTTACGTTGGTGACTCTTTGAACAGTGAAAGGAAAGAGGCTCCATGGAACTAACTGAGCAGTTACCAAGTGCCACACACTGGGCTTTGATATATTGGAGTAGTCGTGCAAACTTAACGTGTGGGAAGAGAGGTGAAGTAGAAACCAAAGGTCACGTTGCCGGGAAGTGGTGGGACTAGTATTCAAGTCCAAACTATCTGATTCTAAGACCTGGATTACTCCATGTAGCAAAGCTTTAGGATGAAATAGTTAAGACTCAGGAAAGGAGTTCTCTTGAAGGCATAATGAGCTCTCGTATTTGAAACTATACTAATAATTTTTGTAAGTTTGTCTGTAGTTTTTAACAGGGCATTGTACAGCAGTGGGACAACTCTTGTCCTGCTTTGTCCAGTGTCCTCCCTGCTCCAGTCTATTCAGCAAGAGAAGTAACCAGTTCCCCTCTTCTGATGAACAGAAGAGAGGGTGTGTGGAGAGAAAGCATTCTGTGGGCTGTCAATGGTTCACATGAAAGGAACTAATGATATGATCAGCGTGATTTAGCATCACTGTAGCTTCTTCCTCTTTGTCTTCCTTGCATTGATGTTTTCCTCTTTCCTTGTTTTTTTTCCGGCTCTGACCAGCGGGCTTGCCCTTCCTCATCATCGAGACCAGCACCATCAAGCCTTACCACCGAGGGTTCTACTGCGATGACGAGAGCATCAAGTACCCCGTGAAAACTGGCGAGACGATCAATGATGCAGTCCTCAGCGCTGTGGGGATCGTCATTGCCATTCTTGCGGTAAGCATTCAGACCGCCAGGCTCCATCCTGTCCATCCTGTCCGCCTGCTTCCTGTAGTGTAGGATACACAAGCCAACAGTGACAGGTAATGTGCCAACAGACTTCCTCCCAGTGCAAACCAGCCAAGCCAGCTCATTTGATCTGTATTCTTTATTTCAAGTAGTTAATACTATTAGAAAAAACTAACATGCTTTATCCTTATGACATTCTGGTGAAGTTTAGATACTTTTCTCCTACCAATTAAAAAAATGAAGATCCATAGAGGAAAAATCATTTACTCAAGGTCACATGGGTCATCAGTTGGAAAGTTGTCTCTTATCCCAGAAACTGAGCTCTGAGCTACCGACCCTTACCAGCTATGAAGGTCATTACCTTCTCTGCACACCTTCCCAAACTGCCCTAATGGTGAGAACGTTTGTGATATGCTCTGGCATGTTGTTTCGTTCTCTTTCCCAGTGGTCATGGTGACATGTGTAATTGGATTTGGAACTCAAAGACATGGTCACTAGACCTGGTCCCCCACTCACCAGCTTTGCTTCACAGCCCCACAGTTAGGCAGAGCTAGCAGGTCTATAAGCTTTGTGGCTGAGTGCTGATTCATCAGAGCTGTAAAGTCCAGACTTGCATGTCCAGGTCTATCGTTATGGACTGAGGATCTTACAACAATGAACTTTGACAACGTCTAGATTATTTTTCAGCAATAGTAGTAGCTCTACAGGAGCTAGGGCAAATTCTCTCTGAGCTCTGCTTGGAGGGTCAGCACACTGATTTGGACGTGTTCACTTGGAGCAGGTCAAGGATACGGTCACTGAAATCCAATCTTGTCATTTGGGAGTCCTGCGTTCACAGCTGTTCACGCCACACCTCCAGTATTTTTTAAGTTTGATCTTTACCTTTGATGCTCTGCCATGTGGGTCAAAGGGAACGGCATCATCTCACCAGGCTCATAAATTCTCTTTTGAGGATCCTGGAATCACCTTTCTCCTGAGCATGATCTGGGCATTTATCTTTGGCATGTATTAGGTATCCCAGAAAAAGAGAGCTAAAATCAGACCACTTAAATGTGGGATATACAGGTTAAACCACTGCCTTTAATGCTGGCATTCCATATGGGCACCAGTAAGAGTCCCGCTGCCTCAGTTCCAATCAGCTCTGCACTAATGGCATGAGAAAGCAGCAGAAAATGGCCCACATGTTTGGGCCTCTGCACCAACATGGGCGATCCTAGATGCAGTTTCTGGTTTCTGGCTTCAGCCTAGCTTATCTCAGGTGTTGTGGCCATTTGAGGAATGAACCAGCAGATGGAAAATCTGTCTCTCCCTCTGTCTCTCTGTAACTCTGCCTTTAAAATAAATAGTAAAAACAAAGCAAAAACAAAAATGACTTAATGTGAAATACGTGCTATTATTCCCATTATACAGATGAAAAGTATGAAGCTCAAAGTCTACAGCCAATAAAAACTGGGCTTCAGGTCTGTACTTGACTTATTCTGAAGCCCTCTTTGCATTTGCTGACTTAAATCTCAGGATGGCTAACCAGTCCAAATGTACCACTCATGGGGATAGGCAGTTAACTTGTCTTGCCTACTCTGGATCAAATAAATGTAAGCTGCTGATGTTACGTGAACCACATTTCATGAAGTTTTTCTTTTGACTTGTTCACTCTGGGGGTTGACTGTAAACTTTGAGACCCTTCTTTGTTTTTTAATAACATCGTAAACTAGGCGCACAATCAACAGTTTGATTGCGGGGAAGGGGGAAGGGAAGCTAGGAGAATTCTTTCCAACCTTTAAAAGAAAAACAGCCCATTGGCAACTGTAGTCATTTCTAAAAGGTGGACTAAGGATCTTTGTGTTCAAAAATTGCAAAAATGAAAGACCTAATTTTACTGTTTGCTCCAATTTGACAGTTGTGGAATTGAGTTCTCTAGGAAGAATGGCCTTTCCTGAAAAAGGCATTTGTCCTGGAAGGCAAATAGCTACATAATATCTTGTGCTTAGGTTTGAACAGGTGTTTTTGACAGTTGAGGATGTGTTAACTGAATGCCTTCAGGGAACTTGCTAGAGTGTGATAAGAATGGCACCATGGCAGGTATGGTCAAGTGCTTGCCCCCGTCTCTCCATGGGATCCCTCCCTACCTGCTTAGCTGGGCTGCTTCTGGGCACAGCTCAGTGCAGTGACCCCAGTGCTCAGAGCATCTCCCAGGTGTGTGAGGCACCTGACTGGTTGCTCTAACTCTCCTTATCCTCATCTGTAATACAGGAATGAGCTGCTTGTCTTCAAGGCTCTTGCCGTGGCAATCCAATGCTGTCATGTGGGAATATGCCTCTTGTAGCAGGGATCTCAAAGGAATGCCCCAAGCATTTAGCCTGAGTGGTGCTGGGTTTCTGACTTGAGTTCAGGGTGGGTACAGTGAAATGCTGAAGGCGCTTCTCTGAGGGGCCATGCTCTTCTTCTTTTCTCTTCCTTCCTTTCGTCCTTCCTTCTTCTACAAATCTGGGGCTCAGCAGCTCATCCCCTCCCGCTTGCCAAGGCCACCCTTCTCCTTTAGAGATGCCAGCATTTCCAAGAAGAATTTGCTCTTGAGAGCTCACTTGTGGCTTGCTGACGTTTTAATTAAAGTGCTCCTTGACCTCCCTGGTTTCCTTGAAACAGTCTTGTGTTGCGGCCTTGGGTGTTGGGTGGGCAGTAGCATTGTTTCCGCATCCTGTACAGTGTCAGCAAAGTACTTTTTGATGTGACGTTTTTAGAGGTCGAGAAACCATAGGCAAGAAAACTTTGCAATATTGTTATCCTGTGGCGTGTGTCCCTGCGTGCTAGAGAAGCACATACATTGTGTTGATACATTTGGCCCTGGAAGCAAGTCCGGACCTGGGTGTTCCCGAGTTCTCCCTTTAGCATGGGCTTCTGCAATCCTCTCTTGTGGGACATAAGGCAAATCAATCAATTCTGTTGAAACTCATTAGACTCATCTGTTAAATGGAGATGGCATACTTTTTTTTAATTAAGGTTTTGAGAACTAGATAAACTGCTGGATATAAGGAACTGAGTGCCTGCACACACAGTATACTCAGTTAACTGCGGTAGAAATGAGTGAACAATCAAAAAGCAGTGAAGTGATTTAGCCAAGGGATCATACCTGTTAAAACCAGGATAGGAACTCCAGCGTTTAACCCCATGCCTCCTGCTCTTTCTCTGAAGTGAATTCAATGGCTGCCAGGTGTCTTCACTCTCACACCTCTTTGCAAAAGGACTGTATTCTCCTGATCCTGCTGTAATGAATGCTCCTACTGGAATCTGACGACTTGCTTACCCAACTGAGCTGCCACGTGTACTCACAGCACAGAGTCAGAGCTGAGACCTCAGCAGCACAGCCTTCATCAGGTCTGGAAAAACTGTACAACTTAAATTAAAAATAACAGCAACACATTGCTTCTTTCCCCTTTGTGATTGGCCGTAGGGCCTGGGGAGACACAGAGGCCTACAGATCAAAAGTGAATCATCCTGCTACTTGCTGTCCTGGGCCTTCTCTTGAGAATGTGAGGTTTGTTGAAAATACTGGCAGAAGCCCCACCTGCTTGGGATGTTCTTGCTTCTGCTCAACAGTTCCTCCAACAAGAAAGTGGAAGTGTGGCAGAGGAGACCAGTGACTGAGGTTTTGAGATGCAGATCACCAGAAGTTATGGAGAAAGCAGACACCTTTCTGTGGCAGGAGTGATGGAAAATCCTGGTCATTTTGACTCTTTTTCAGATGTATCTCAGATTCTGGAATTATGGCATAATGGGAATTCCTTCCAAATCCACAAAGCAACAGTTCCTATCCCAGCCTTCGAAGGCTTGATGATTCTAGCAGCAGTGAGATTAGCAGCAAACAGAAAAACAGCCTTTCCTATCTCACCTCCTCTCTTTCATCTTGCACTGTATTATTGTAGATGATTATGGACAAAGGTTTTGATACAGCACAGCTGCTCAGTATTCTTGTTAAGTCTCTATGGGCTCAGTGCTTGCCCTGGTCAGACCCTGAGAGGAGTTTATATACATTTTTAGTATCTAAGGCATCAAAAAGCTCTTCCGTCCCAGCTCCAGCTTTTATCGGACCCCCTTCAGAATATTCCTAACTAGAGCATAAGCTCACAGTTCACCATCCTCTGACTTTGGTTCACATTTCCAACTTCTGTACTCCCTTGTCCTTCAGTGTCAGGCAAGCAGTGGACTTGGCGCAGCACTTTCCTTTTCTGTCAATGACTGATAACAGTTATCTAATTCCATGGGCTTGTTTTGGTTGTCAAATCAAGTGCCAGTATGTGTGTAGTTGGTGAGGGTGATCCTTTTCATTTCTGTAGGACTGCACAGCTTACCAAGTGACTTTTATGTATACCGTCTCTTATTTGCACCTACCAGTGATCTGGGGAAGTTTATGGTTACAACTAAGACACCAAGGGGCTCTAGGGTATTGAATGACTCTCCCATAACTCATGAGTGGCCGGGACACACCATGGGTCCCCTGCTTGCAAAGCCAAGGCTTTTAAAGCACTGGCATTCATGACTGCCCTGCAGTCTGCCCATTGTCTACAGTCACTCACCAGAGCTTCTGATGCGTCAGATGCTGAGGACGCAATGGTGGGCTTTAGCTTAATTAGCTGGCTGTGGTCCTTCATCATTAAACCACCAGCAGCTGCCCATGCTGAGCAGGCAAGCAGCCCCTTGATGGAAGTTGTAAGCAGGTGTGCTCTGGGTGATAGGTTCTGGGAGAGGTTTGCCCCCAACACATGCTAAGTACTGCATACACATCAAACACACCTCTTCTATAGGTGTTCCTCAGCTGTCTGCTTTTGCTCCCTCACTTCCTGAAGGTCTGCAAGAGTTCTGGGGCCACATCTACCCCTGCACTTACCTTGCTGAGTTGTCTTGCCTGTTTCTAACTAGCTTATGAACTGTACAAGGATTGGATTGAACTTATCTGTTCACTATTACTTGCCAGGCACAAGAATTGATACTCT